CGTCACTACATGTGAAAAAAAAAACATCCATACAATTAATTATACATGGTGTCCTACACACACTTTTCTCCCACCTCTTCTATCTCTTCCATCCATCATCCCACCAATCTGCAGTAAAAGCATTTCAGTTCAAGGTATTGTGGTTAGACACGCACCCTGTCAGTAGCAGCTACTTCACTTTAGAAGCAGCAGAATTCAATGACTCTCCTCTCTATCATCTCTTCCTGTCTCATCCTGTCTCTCTGTGGCCATCTGCTATAAATTACATGACCCAATGCCAAGGATAAGACTCACTGGAACAATATCAGCTGCGACTGGAGTCCCTATACCCGCGCCATTTTTTTTTTCTTTCTACAAAAATCTATCAATTATTTTTAGAGCACCGTTTAGGAACTGCACTGTATGTGTGTGTGTGTGCTTACGCAGAGTGCCTGAGGTGTCTGCGTGCTCTTATTTTTAATAAGGCATGTGCCTAAAGTGCATGCCGAGTCCTTGGATGACAGCACACACTATGAGGCATTGTGAAAAGAGACTGAGAGAGGGATGACAGAGAAGTGGAGAAAGCCTCCAAAAGTAAACAAACGGCCAACGCTGAGAGATCGACGGGAGGAGATGCGGGGAGATAAAAACAAACCAGATTTTAATATTTTTAGCCAGCTGCAGAAACAAACGTTTGTTTGTACTTGAAGCTGACAACACAGGCCAAAGCATCCTCGTAGTAAAACTACTCTGAAACCCAGAAAAACAAATCACCGCCACCCATAAATACCACGCGAAATCTATTTCAGAAGTGGTGTTTGAGAAGATGTCACACCTCTTTAGCCTAACATGAAACCAAGTAAAGTTGAAGGAGAAAAGAAAACTCAAAAACTTCAAAAACCCATCACAAAATAGGCTCAGAGTGATGGAACAACACACACACACACACACACACACACACACACAAATAAAAAAACTCTGTGCCGTCTCTGTAACATCCAGCAGCCTAGGGGAGATTGCATTAAAAATTCATCCTGTGATTTATCTGCACTCTGCTTGGCAAGCCGGCCCGACACACTCTGCTATCCGGTTTTATTGTGCTCTCTCTCTCTCTCTCTCTCTCTCCCTCTCTTTGTGTCTTTCAAATTACCACGAGTGCAGTCACACACGTGCACATGATAGCGGCGTACACATCAAAATATATATGAAAAATCATCCAGCAACAAAACAACAAACAGGCTGTCCACGTTAAGCCGGACCTCTCAGCTGTCCTGATAAACATTTGACTAAAAAGGTTAAATTGAGAACTACAAAAACATGATACAGGGCGATATATAGAACGTGCCATCATGTCTGCAAAATTTCCAGCCTGTCACAAAGGGATGAAACAATAACCACTTTCATGACAAACTGTGATAAAATTCCTCAGGGTTAGCCTTAACACTTCAGATTTTATTTATCATGAAAACTGTGTAAATTTGTTTACCACGCTTTGAAAAACTTGTGGTAAACACTGTCCAGCATCAACCGAAAGCAGCAAAATTTTCCCAGACACAGGCACAGCATGCAATGTGGGTTTGTTTAGCTATTTCCTTATATACAGCAATATAATATGAGCATTTTAAAGAAGGCCAAGGTTCCCACACATTTTTACCTGCAAATTTTTTAAACTTTTTCATTAAATTTTACCTCACTACCATGACCTTGTTTAAGTACTTTGAAATAGGTGTGTCTGGGGCACCCAGTAGATCACCTGGTAGACCAGGCACCCCATGTACAAAGGCTATGTCTTTGCCGCAGCAGCTATGGGTTTGGTTCCAATCTATGGCCCTTTACTGCATGTCCTCTCCTTTCTCTCTCTCCCTTTCACTCTGAGACTATCCTATCAATAAATGCCAAAAAAAAAAAAAAAATGGGCCTTTACAGTGATAAAGCAATACATTATTGAACACACTTTCCAGGCATTTGCGTATAAGCAAACTGCTAACGCTTGCTAACTTTACTTGCTCTGAAGACATTCCCGCCACTAACTAGCTTCATATGCCCATTGCCAACAGACAAGACCAGCTCATACTGTCACTTCACAAAACGTGAAAGACACGCCTCTATATATTACATAGATGTCAGTGCAGTTTAACATGTGATTTGACGGTACTGCAGCAGCCCCCCACTCAAGCTAACATAAGCTAACCATCAGTAGTAACTGTCACCAGCATCATTTCGGGGTTTACTACACTAACAGTGAACATTCATGCATCTTATGTGCCTCAGTACCTGGTTAACCTGCTACACAACAGCTGCTCTGCATTTTCCTGTTTTTCCTAATGTGACAGCATGTGTCTTTCCCTCAAAAGGGGCCACAACCTTAGCATGCTGATCAGGTCTATGTGTGTCACGTGATACTTGTGACATTTCAACAGTCATGCAGTGCAGCACTTGATTTTAAATTAGCAATACTAGGTACGTACTTCATGTAATGTCAGATATGTTTGGGGATTTTTAAAGAAACAAAATTAAAACAATAGCCGAAACATGCTGTCAATTCCAAACCATTTCCAGGCCTGTAAATTATTTTTTTCTAGTTTCATAACGTTTCCTGGAACTACATGACTAAGGGAACCCTGGCAGGCTAACTTTAAGTTGATGCACATTTATATGGTTTTCATATATTCACATATGATGTTGGCTATGTTATTGTTTCATATTTTCAATACAAAACTTGCTGAAATGATTTCAGTGTGTATCAGTATCATCAATGCCATAATGATACTGATAACCGTGATCATTTGGGTCACTATAATATGAAATTTTCATACCCTCTCATCTCTACTGCCATGTTTCATCAAGGACAACAGTCTGCTGTCATCAGTCAGCCTCCCCAAACTACACTACCCAGACTACTTTGCACTAAAGGAAGAGATTTCTTCATCTGTACCCTTTGCTCCTTTTAATGTGTCAGCATGGTTTCAAAGGTTTATGGTCTGCTGCCTATTAATAATTATGACCAGATTGCTAAAAGCAGATGAGTGGACATTACACTGTTTCTGAGAAAGCATTACAGTACTGAGTACGGCCATGTCTACGTGAGGGAAACACCAGAATAAAATAAATACTAAATGATGTCATAAGGAAGAACAGGCAAATGTTCTAATGAAATACGTTTCAAAGTTTCGACAAAAGCTCTTAAAACCTCACTGGTTTTTACTTTTTAAGGTAATTCTGGTTTTGCCCTTTACTCATTACATCAAAGATGCTGTAAAGAAGGAAGTATTTTGCAATACAGGACAAGAAGCAGAACTGAAACCACAAAATTGTTAAATCTTTCCGCTCAGCAACGCCAGATGTGATGTGTGCTCCACAAACTGAGCAGCAAACTTAGGTTGACGTATACCAGGGCCGAGCTACGCAACATGCCAGACAGACGCAAAATAATCAAGCTAAAATGTGTGTATGCGTGTGTGTGTGTAGGGAGGGAGGAAATCAAGACGCAGAGAAGCACACTGGGCATGTGTATTCATTAAATGCAGAAAGCTCAGAGGAAAGTCGATAAAGAAGCCGTTTGGTGTACTGTGCGGATTGCACGGTGACACCCTTGCCAAGGTCACCCACTGTATTTGCTGCATCACCATAACTCAAGACTAATCACGGTACTGTGTTTGCACGCTGCACGCACGCACGCACGCGCACGCACACACACACACACACACACACACACACACACACACACACACACACACACACAGAGGCATGCACTAGTCTCATTACCCTTGGTTATTTATGAGCTCAACCACATGCCCTCTTCTGCGGTGTCCAACCTCAGCACCTTCAGCAACATCTTATTTTCTCTCAATCATTCATTTTTCTCCCCTCCATTCTTCCACCCTTCCGTACAAACCACTCTTCCACTCTCTTCCTTTTTCCCCACTCATTTTTCCTCTTTCCTCCCCTTGTTCTAGTTTTTTAATAATTCATCTTCTGCACTGCTCCCCCCTCGGGGAAAAGCTCCAACTGTCACAGGCCAAGACCATTAATCAATCCCTCGTCTCTCTCCCTCTCTACCTCCACCTCTCTCGGCTCTTAACCTCCCTTCTCTTCCCCCATTTCTCCACTCCACACTTCTCTTGCTCTCCGTATCCTTTGTGCTTTTCATCTGTCATGTTTCTGCCCATCATTTATGTTTTTATGGTCTTATCTGCCCCCGCTTGTCACTCTCCTCCTCCGCTGCGCTCTTTGATCTTTCAAGACGCCCTCTCCTCCTCTTAAACAGCACACTGGTTCTTTTTCCGCATCCTCTTCCTCCCGTAACACGCCTCTCTCATGCTGTTACGCAGGGAACAAACCCCATTTCAACACTCATTCATTATTTGTGATTGTGCGCTGGTAGAAAACTGTAGACCAATGAAAGTGCATCATATGCCTTTCTTGTTTAACGTCAACAAATGAACACAGGGAGAATTTAACACATTAATTCCATGCATAATTACTAGTTAACCAAATATAGGAATAAAAGCATATGGAAGACGCCTTTGGATCAAAATCACAAGAAAACATCTACAAAAACATCATTAACAGCCACCAGTGATTAAATTGTTTCTTCCTTCTTCTGTTTCCTGTAATTGTTCTTCATCTCTGTAACCTCCTCTGTTTCTTTCACTCTTCCGTCTCCTCCTTCTCCCCTTTCCCCACTGTTAACATACAGCCTGTATAGATCCTCCCCATCTACGCAAAGCTGTACACTCCTGTCTGCACTAGCTCTTATCAGGTATCTCTCCCTCACACACACACACACTCTGTTGTCATGTCTAGAACAACTTATCAGATTTAACTCTCACACTTTCCAGTCTGGAGAGTGTTGCCTTACTCTACTGTGGATAATCCACCATCATCCAAGCCAACACAACCCCAACACAGGCACTCACACACATACACACACACGCACGCACGCATGCGCGCACGCATGCACGCACGCACGCACGCACGCACACACACACGTCAGCACCTACGGACAGAGAGTGCATTACCATGCCTGCAGGAGGAGTGGTCACACGTTTCCTTCCTTCTGACGCCCCGCTCCTGGAGTTGCTGGGTGCGTGGTGGGGGTGCAGAAGCGAGGTTACCAGTCAGGATGTTGCTGTCACGCCGTTTCCGCTCCTCATGTGCTCCTCTGTCACTCTGACCACCGCTTTACGAGAGGTTGTGCTTCTGACAGATGGAGAAACAGAGAGAGAGGAGGAGGGGGGAGGAAGAGGATGAAAGGCTGATCAGTGTCTCAACAAATACAAGAAGCTTCCTCTTTTTCACAAAAAACAAAACACAGAAAAGGAAGAGACATAGATTTGATAAATAACTAAATGAATAATAAGACAAAGTACTTAAAAAACAAAAAGCAAAACAGATCAAAGAAAAACACCAGTAGCATCAACCCCCATCACATGTAACCTGCATCTGTCTAATCCTGCAGAACCCAATTCCGCCCGTGTCTTCATTTTCAACATCCAATTCTCTCTCTGTTTCTGTCTCTCAAACACACACAATTTTCCGAGCAAGGGTGAAATCCCTGTCCTTGAGTAGGAGATCTGACAGAATGGCTGATCGACTCATGTGGAGATAGACATGTGGACACACACACACACACACACAGGCCTTCATTCATTTTTCATGAGCTGGCACGAGTCTGAGGGAGGGGGATGTAATACAAACATGTACTTGTTTTCATACACTGGGTTACACACTTAACCCTAACACACCCTCCTCCATTCATACACACACATGCAAACACACAAACGGGTTGACGGACTACATGTAAACTAGTCTCACTGTTCTTCTGGAAAAAGACACACACAACCATAAATTTGTGTGTCACTTAATTCAAACAGAGAATACATGGTGACTTATAAAATATGGCATGTACAGTCTATATATAGTAAAATGTAGGAGAACGCTACCACAGTGAGGTCTGATCGTTGCAATCATGAATGCACAGTGACACCTGCAACCACTTCATGGAAGATGCAATGGCAAAACTGTGAAAAATTATTATGTATTTCTTGAGAATACTGTGTTGTGTGATGAACAGTAGAGGGTCTGAAAAACTCTGAGCTGGACTCCAAATGACAATGTTTAGTGTTTGGTGAGAGCCCGACCACTGTGCTACAGAGTGCTCCTTCAGTACAAATTGTGACAGTAATGGCTCTAACCTTATCTCTTCCTGGCTTTTATTCCTTTCAGTGAACAGAGGTGACAGTGGAGTAATCAGACGGACGTAAAGGCTTTATATAATTCAGAATACACAGCACAAAACAAATGATCCAAGGCCAGTAAACCAATTACTCTACGCTGTTCAATGCCTCTTATCATGAGTTCATGATTTTCTAAACAAAGTAAATTACTTGTAAATCTTGAACTTCAATGAAGTTGCTTGTGACTTCTTCCAACTCATCTGACGGCTTCAGAGAGTAAACCAAACATTCAGTGTTGCTATGAAAACACAGGCCAGTTTTATCAGCGCGGAGCAAGCCGAGGTGAACAGATACACAACGTTCCTATTCACAACATGAAATGTCAACAGTATCACCACTGACAGTACACAGACGCATCTGGTCACAGTCAGACCACAGCAATGACATTTATAGAGCTGTGCATGTGTTCACACCAGAGTGTATGAGATGATTTCTCAAAGGTCTTCCAGCTTCGGGGGTTGCCTGTTCGAGCAGGTGTGGGGAAAAGGCAACAGTACTGATTACAATAATGAAAATGGTGACATACAGTACAGGCCAAAAGTTTGGACACACCTTCTCATTCAATGCGTTTTCTTTATTTTCATGACTATTTACATTGTAGATTCTCACTGAAGGCATCAAAACTATGAATGAACACACGTGGAGTTATGTACTTAACAAAAAAGGTGAAATAACTGAAAACATGTTTTATATTCTAGTTTCTTCAAAATAGCCACCCTTTGCTCTGATTACTGCTTTGCACACTCTTGGCATTCTCTCCATGAGCTTCAAGAGGTGGTACCCGAAATGGTTTCCACTTCACAGGTGTGCCTTATCAGGGTTAATTAGTGGAATTTCTTGCTTTATCAGTGGGGTTGGGACCATCAGTTGTGTTGTGCAGAAGTCAGGTTAATACACAGCCGACAGCCCTATTGGACAACTGTTAAAATTCATATTATGGCAAGAACCAATCAGCTAACTAAAGAAAAACCAGTGGCCATCATTACTTTAAGAAATGAAGGTCAGTCAGTCCGGAAAATTGCAAAAACTTTAAATGTGTCCCCAAGTGGAGTCGCAAAAACCATCAAGCGCTACAACGAAACTGGCACACATGAGGACCGACCCAGGAAAGGAAGACCAAGAGTCACCTCTGCTTCTGAGGATAAGTTCATCCGAGTCACCAGCCTCAGAAATGGCAAATTAACAGCAGCTCAGATCAGAGACCAGATGAATGCCACACAGAGTTCTAGCAGCAGACCCATCTCTAGAACAACTGTTAAGAGGAGACTGCGCGAATCAGGCCTTCATGGTCAAATAGCTGCTAGGAAACCACTGCTAAGGAGAGGCAACAAGCAGAAGAGATTTGTTTGGGCCAAGAAACACAAGGAATGGACATTAGACCAGTGGAAATCTGTGCTTTGGTCTGATGAGTCCAAATTTGATATCTTTGGTTCCAACCGCCGTGTCTTTGTGAGACGCAGAAAAGGTGAACGGATGGATTCCACATGCCTGGTTCCCACTGAGAAGCATGGAGGAGGAGGTGTGATGGTGTGGGGGTGTTTTGCTGGTGACACTGTTGGGTATTTATTCAAAATTGAAGGCACACTGAACCAGCATGGCTACCACAGCATCCTGCAGCGACATGCCATCCAATCCGGTTTGCGTTTAGTTGGACGATCATTTATTTTTCAACAGGACAATGACCCCAAACACACCTCCAGGCTGTGTAAGGGCTATTTGACCAAGAAGGAGAGTGATGGAGTGCTGCGGCAGATGACCTGGCCTCCACAGTCACCGGACCTGAACCCAATCGAGATGGTTTGGGGTGAGCTGGACCGCAGAGTGAAGGCAAAGGGGCCAACAAGTGCTAAACACCTCTGGGAACTCCTTCAAGACTGTTGGAAAACCATTTCAGGTGACTACCTCTTGAGGCTCATCGAGAGAATGCCAAGAGTGTGCAAAGCAGTAATCAGAGCAAAGGGTGGCTATTTTGAAGAAACTAGAATATAAAATATGTTTTCAGTTATTTCACCTTTTTTTGTTAAGTACATAACTCCACATGTGTTCATTCATAGTTTTGATGCCTTCAGTGAGAATCTACAATGTAAATAGTCATGAAAATAAAGAAAACGCATTGAATGAGAAGGTGTGTCCAAACTTTTGGCCTGTACTGTATGCAGTATTGCAGTATTATATTTGGCGGTATGGCTCTGTTCTGGGGCCCCTCTGCCTTTCCTCGGACCTACACAGAAAGCCTCTTCCTTGCACCTACATGGAAAGCGTAAGGCGGAGAGAGCACACCTGTCTGCGGCAGTAGCTCAGTCCATAGTAGGGTTGTCAAAAGTATTGATACTCTGAAAAGTATTGATACTCAAACGCTGTATCTGGATACAATACTAATTTACAAAAGTATGGATACTAACAGTGCACGCCACCTCAGCGCCTGCCAGGTGTGCGCGACGGGTCCGATGGACACGCACTGTGCAGGCAGCGTCTGGCAGGCACAGAGCCCTCGCTGCAACCCGGCTTGTTGTCGTCATTGTGCATGCATGCACACATTTCTGTTGCTGTAATATGGCCAGCGTGGCTGCAGGAGGATCAGAGCAGCCAGTTTTGGTCAAAAATGATAAAGGAAAAAGCGCTCTTCGAAAATATTTAGTGAAGTGAACACAGCATGCTGCAGATGGCAGGTACAGCCCCTCCCCTCACTAGCAGCTGAGCAGCTGGTGTCGCCAGCATCAAACTAAAATATAACTTCTAACGTTAATGTGGGAGCTAAGCAGAAAACTTTATCAGTCATGCCCGTCTGTAACATTAATAGACAATGTTAGTTTAACAGGACAACACAATTATGTGTGTCTGAAAAGTTATGTTAACTGTAAAGTCACAGATTGAAGCTGAAAAAACGTTCTCTGATCACACAGTGAGGTACAAACAGGAGCATCCTGAGCCTATACTACTCTATTTGATCAGCAACAAAAATATGGTGCCAATTCACCAGAAGCACAGAAAATAAACAGGGCTGTAGATAAATACATTTGTATGGACAGATCTTGTTTCTGGTTGTTATTATAAAATATGGAGCATGGACTGGTAGCTGGAGAGGTGCCAGTTCACCTCCTGGGCATTGCCGAGGTGCCCTTGAGCAAGGCACCGAACCCCCCGACTGCTCGGAGCACCGAGGCGCCGAGGCAGCCCCACTCTGACATAATCTCCACTTAGTGCATGTATAGGTCCTGTTTATGCATGTGTGTGTGTTCGGACCTGAGTGTAATTGACAACAGAGTGAAACAGAATTTCTCCTCGGGGATTAATAAAGTATATAAAATTAAAATGAAAAAAAAAAAATTGAATGAGGCAAACCTCTCTGCCCTTCCATGCACCTATATAGAAAGCCTAAGGCAGGGAGAGCAGTCGCAAAGACCCCATGAGAACAGAACACAGATTAAAAAACAACAACAACAGAACTGTGACTAATTCGTGTTGGGGGAAAAATAGCTTAAATGAGATTTAAAAATAAAAACTGAAATGTATGATGACAATAATGTGGTGAGGTAGTGAAAAGATGGGCTGATATTTGGATCTACTTCATTTGTGATGCTGCAGATAGAAAAAGTGATTGCTTTGTACCTTTATTGACGTGAGATGAAAAATAACTGGCAGTGATGACGTAAGGGACTTCTGTCAATCACTAATGTGAAATGTTTTCATCAACTAGATTTGACTAAAAAAAAACAAAAAATAGGGATAACACGATATCAGATTGTCTCTTTTTTGGTGAATGAATTAAACTCGAGTGTAGGGGGTGGAGTGGGAGAAACTATTAACATGAATTAAATATTCCATTTTTTAAATACCACAATAATCATCAATACTGGCATGTTGCGACACCCTGACATAAAAGATAATGGAAATCTGATTTTGATCTCTTTCACTGTGGAGTACACCACAGTACATCTTGAAACAGTTGGACTGCAGCTAACG